AAGTGCTACTACAAATTACTATTAGACCTCCAGATGCGCCCTGGGAAGGTTGAAAGCAAAATCTGTCGAACCTTCTAGGGCAGAATTTTCTTAAATAAGAGTGATCAAAATGCTCCCTTTTTGTTTCTTGCAAGCAGATTATGGCACAGGCAGATTCTTCAATTTTGTGGGCAATAGCAAGCCATTTGTTCTCTGAGTTTATGCCTCTTATGTTCCAGCAAAGGATGTTGCAAATTTTATTTCTTGGAGATGTATTCATTTGGATAAGATTGATGGGTCAGAAAAATTGGAAGTATCAAACGTACTTCACGAAAGCAATTCCAGTTAACTTCTGTGATGAACCTCCAGCAGTATTTCACATGATAAATCATCATAGGAACATACGGACATAGATATAGCAAAAATAGGGACAAGTTTCACATATGGTAGACCAACATAGGCATTGAGAATGGCAGAGATTGTGGCTATAACACAGAATTAGCCACTTAGGACACAAAAGCAGGTTTTTGACAAATAAATAGTCCCTAGACATAAGAGATAAAAGGCTAAGCATAGCCATAGGAACAATAAGAGACTTAATCATCCTTGTTCTGGAGAAGTTTCCCATCTGCCACTTCCTCAAGAAGAAGACCACATTTCTCAAGACCAATCTTTTGCAGCTGGGCCACTGGGATGGCCGGGGGGAGATGCTTGACTCTATCATCTTTACTGGGCTTGAAACTTGTCACCATTGGCTTCACTTTAGTTTTCTTCTTGGGTGTGTCTGTATGTATCTCCAGCTTCTCACCAAGCCCAGTGAAGCGTGGGCTTCTTCTAAGGCCTTCAGTAGAAACTGGGGTTTGAATTTTGTGCTTTCTTGCTCTCCCTTGCCTAACCTCAGGATCACTAGTTATTTCAGATGAAGCAAACATAACTTTTGCAACCCTTTTTCCATCAGGGTGAATCGATTTCTGCTTCTTCGCAAGACTAGGGCAAGTAGGACTTGGGCAGAGCTGGGGCAACTTGGGGATGTCGATGATCCATTTGATAGAGATAAGATCCCAACATGGATAGGAGTGGACTGATCTGAAGATAATTGGTTGGGTAGCAAGGAGAAGTGGCTTGAAAACTCCCTGAGCAACAGCAATACAGACTAAAGGAGGGAATTTAGTGAGAGGCAGGTGTGGTAGGGGGAGCCCATAAGGAACAATCTGACCATCAAAAGGCAGCTGATCATCCTGTTGCTCAATGATCTGAATAGAAGAAACCGAATCAATCATTGTGAAATCCTGGTCAGAGTAGGAGAGTTGAGGTTATTGGTGGTCTTCCTGTGCAAAACCAATCTCGCCTTGCTCTTCTGGGATAGCCTGGTTCATTTGTGCGTCCATCTGCAGATCATGAATCTGGTCTTGTTGCTATTGAATGATTTCCCATATGCCAGGAACATCTTCATCACCCAGAAGCATGTCGATGAAGTTCCCAGTTAGAACATAGGGGTAAAAAGTCCAAGATTCCCCAAGTCCACCGATCTCAGAGGTGTGGCCCATGACAATCTTTGCCGGCACTTCATGTGGCACAGTGTATCTGACTTTAACCAGGACTCTACCCAAAACCCTGTCTCTAGATGTGCCAGCGAAGGAGCTTTCCAAACTGGCTCACAGTCTGTTCAATAATAGCAGGAGTTCTGAAGCGAGGGGGTATCCCAGGATCATAACCCAACCCTCTCTGTTATAAGGTCGATTTATTTTGTTGGATAGCTGATCATAAGGAATAAAATTGACTTGAGCTAGGTTGTGCAACATGATCGGTCCCTCATCTACCAAAGCATCTCTATGGAAAACAGATTGAAATTAAACAATGCAGAGAGCGAGCGGGTATCTTTGGGCTCTAACCACTGGGATGTTGCGGTGATGAGTGACATGGTGAATAACTTCATCAATAGTTTGGATTACAAGGTGCTCAGGAGGCTGTGGCTGGATGAGAACTGCAGCAAATTCATCATTGAAATTCTGGGAAATTGACTGTACCGTGAAGTCGGCCCGCGGGTTTCTTGCAATCCAAGGGATCTCCACGTTAGCACCAGGGGGAGGAAGAGGTCTGGGCGGAGCTCCTCATCAGTGTGGTTTGCCATACTCTCAGCCCAGGCAATGAGGGAAACCACTTGGGGGGAGATGGGGTTTGGGGAAGAGGGAAAGTTTGGGGAGTAGGGCGAGAGAGCTGGAGAAGAAGAGGAGGGCGACTGATTATTTCCAAAAATGATTAATTCCCTTCCTTTGGCAGGGATTTCTCTAGATGGATCAGAGCGTGATTTAGCTCGCCAATGGGCTTTGTCATTTTTTCTTTTGGCCCAACAGGAACGTCTAGTATGTCCATAATTGTAGCAGGCCCAACTTCTAATTTGATTTATGCAGACATTGATAGCATGATCAGGGGAGAGACATCCTTGGCATAAACCATGCACTGAGTAATTTCCATGAGTGGGCATTGAATGCTTTTCCAAATTCAAATTATCATTTCTCGTCGAATTCAAAGCAGAGAAAAGATCATGAAAATCTTTTGATGATGAATTGCATGTACCTGAAGAACTTTGTATGAAACAGCTTTGAAGAACATGTTGTATTGCGATCCACAGGGGTTGGAAGGATTCCATCACGTGTAGTGGACGACGATGCATTGTGAAACCCAGGAGTTGGGAGAATACCATCATGAACATTTGATGGAGGAAAAGATAACCTGAGAAAAACCGAAGATTTGCCAGAACCTGGTTTCAATTTGTCACTTGATAAAGAGCGGTTCTTGGCGATCAGAGCAGAAGAACCAGATCTGCCAATGCATTGGTGCTTATTTCCAGACGGAAGAATAGGGGACTTATTTTTGCCATAAGAAACAAGAGTCCACATATCTGCTTCCTCCTTCTGCCACTGCGAGAATTCCCAACGCCAATTCGGTCTACCATCTCTCCAAAGGAAGAATCGAGCATGGAAATCTTTGGAGATGAAATTTTTGAAGGAGAGAATATGGAAACCCACTTGTTTAGAGCACACTTGAAAACAGAAACTGTTATTCTTGAGGTGGGAAACATGAAATCCAAAAGGAGTACCACCCAGACAAGATTGCAAAGCAACAGCCACCGATTTTTCCGTTAAACAAAAGTTGAAGCGAATGAAATCAACAACTAGGAAGAAAGGTCTTTTGCTGAAGAATTTGGAGAAATGAACCGAAGAGTTGAACAGATTTTGCACTTGAGCGGAGAAAGACTTTCCGAAATCAAAATTCCAGCCATCGGGAGGGGAGGGAGTGACGAGCTCACCAGGAGAAGCCATGAAAGAGATTCAAAGAAGATCCATCATCCATGACGGCGATCGCCGGCCGCGAGAGCAACCTATATGAGCACCTCTGAAAAACTAGCTGCATCCACGACGTCTGTACATCTTCCCTTCCTCTACCCTAGACTTGCCCTGCCTCGAGATTCAAGCCGAAGAGACAGACCGGGAAACTGGCAAGCACGGAGAAGATGGGTTGGCGTATCGGAGGCGAAGACGAGATGTACCTGAGCAATGGAACGTGAGGGGATGAGGATGCACGGAAGTGGAGGCGCCAGCGCTAGGGTGTGCACACAGAAAATCAACAAACCAATTAAAGAAGTACAATAGTAAGGCATGTCACTAGATCATTTTTTTCTCAGTGCTGAACATACAATTAATTGAGTATATATTAAAAACAATGTGTTTATGGTTCAAAGAAGGGACGACAGACAGACTGTTAAAACATCATGATCACAGTGGTTGGCGGGACTTCTAGAAAGTAAAAAAATAAACCCCAACGTTAATCACGTTCGATTTGTAAAATCTCAACGATAATAAAGAGGGAAGGCAGCGGGAGTAAAAACTAAAAACAAACCCCAAATAGAATCCCAATGACAATTAAGAGGAGAGATGATGGGCAACCCGTTAAGCTGCACAATCACGATGGTTGGCAAGACTTCTAGAAAGTAAAAAAATAAACCACAAAGGCAATCGCATTCGATTTTTAAAATCTCAATGATAATTAAAAGGAAAAGCATCAAGCAGGTCGTAGAGTAGTATAATGGTGATGCCTCTGACGGTTTGGCGGGACTTATAGAAAGTTAAAAATGAACACTGACGATAACTACGTTTGATTTTTAAAATCCCAATAATAATAAAGAGAGTAGGCAGCGGACGGGCCGTAGAGGAGTAGAGTGGCAGCGTTTGGCGGGACTTCTAAAAATTATAAAAATGAAAGCCATTGATAATTATGTTCGATTTGTAAAATCTCAACGATAATAAAGAGGGAAGGCAGCGGGCATAAAAACTAGAAACAAAAATTAAGAGGAGAGATGACGGGCAACTCGTTAAGCTGCACAATCACGATGGTTGGCAAGACTTCTAGAAAGTAAAAAATAAACCACAATGGAAATCATGTTCGATTTTTAAAATCTCGATGATAATTAAAAGGAAAGGCATCAAGAGTGCCGTAGAGGAGTATAATAGTGATGCCACTGACGGTTTGGTGGGACTTTTAGAAAGTTAAAAATGAACACTGACGATAACTACGTTCGATTTTTAAAATCCCAATGACAACAAAGAGATGAGGCAGCGGATGGGCCGCAGAGGAGTAGAGTGGCAGCGTTTGGCGTTACTTCTAAAAATTATAAAAATGAAAGCCAACGAGATAATTAACTTATAAGGTCAATTTTAAAGTTCAAATGAGGATGAATAGATGCCGTAATAGATCAAACAAGCAAATAAAGAGGTGACAAAGGAGTAAGAGGTAGCGATTGTCGTGACTTTTAAAAACTATAAAATTAGAAACATGAAAGGCCTAAGATGACGAGATAGCTATTTAACAAAATTTAAGTAAACTCATATGTAAAAGAAGGTAGTTTTATATGGATACTAGCCGCGCAATTGCGCGGGCCACCTAGCTAGTTATCGTGATCATCTCTTCAAAACCTGAAGAGCACACTACTCGGTCAGTCCGTCTAAACCGAAGAGCATCCAATGGCGTCCACTGAAACTATCAAAGAATTCTTCAACGTCAATGGCCAGATAATCGGCGCCGCCGTGCTTGCCGTGCTCGCTATGGTAGTGGTGGCGCTCGGCACGTACGGCCGTCATTGCAGCCACCCGGCGCTCCGCCTCTTCGTGTGGGGCGCCTCCACCGTCTTCCTCCTGCTCTCCACCTCCATCATCTCCAATTTGCTCAAGGGGGTCCAGGTGGACAAGTGCAGCAATGCCTCTCCCCAAGCTTCCGGTGGCGTCCAGCAGAAGGACAAGCCGGATATTAGGAAGATGTGGATAATCCTCCTGTGGTCGGCACTCATCCTCATCATCAAGGGCAAGTCCGACACGTCGGCGACCGCCCGTTAACATGGCCTCGTCGTCGCCGTCGTCCGGCGACGTTAGCGTCGACGGGCAGAAGGTCCGGCCACCGCTGGAGTATCTGCTGAAGTACATATGGCTGATCTATCTGATTGTGGTGTGCTATCCACTGGAGGACTGGGTGGGCACTACCAGGAGGAACATCTTCGTCGCGTTCTGCATGCTCGGCCTCGCCAAGTTGCTGCTCAACCTGTTCGCGTCATGGCGGGCGAGCAGCTCGTTCGCCGTTGGCAAGAACGCCCGGCTTGTCTCCGGCTACATGGAGCAGCTCGAGGAAGAGGGCGACGAGGTCGGCGGCCATGACCAGGTGCCCCGTTACATAGTGACGGGGGGGAAGGAGGAGCACGTCGCCACGGGCGCCCGCGGATACCGCATCAGGCGGGACGCCCTGGACGATGAGTCCAGCAGCCTCGTGACGCTGGACCGCGTGTGGCGGATGGCGGAGCACGGCGATGTCAACGGCCTCCTCGCCAAGCGGCCCGAGCTCAGGGACCTCTGCCTCTCCTTCTCCCTGTTCAAGAGCCTTCGCCGGCAGCTGTCAGGCTATCCCCTGGACGACGCGGGCTCTACCAAGGCCCTTGAGTTCGTGCTGCGAGGCATGAACGCCGCCGGCTCTGCCTGTGCCGTCAACGCCGACCGAGTGTTCCATGTTCTCGTCGACGAGCTCTCGTTTGCCAGCGACTTCTACTTCGCTGGGCTTCCGCTGTGCACTTACAGCGGGTGGTGCGCCGCCCTGAACTACATCTTCTCCGTCCTAATCGTTGTCGGAGCCACCGCCGTGGGAACAATATATAAAGTGGAAAAGGTGATCATATTCTAACAAGTGCTAAAGAGAGACACCTTTCTTTCCAAAAAAAAAAAGCTACCAGTACACTCAATATCTATATATTTTTTTTCTTCTTAGAGAAGTTTCTCTTAAATTATTCATCCGATTACACCGTTGTGTTCGTAACAATTAAATCTTTACAATAAGATCTCACATGATTATATTTTGATGAAAAATCACAAATTACTTTTATGATATGTCTAAATTACTTCTAGATTTCACTAAGTTACTTCTTACACATATAAAAGTAAATTCAGTAAACCTTAAAAGTAATTTACATATATTATAGAAGTAACTTATAACAAAAAGAAAGTAACTTTAATTTAGAACTATATCTAGATTCATTTACATCTATATAAATAAGGGCAATGCTAAAGTGACTTATATTATGAAACGGGGGGAGTAACTATCTGTAGTAGAAATAATTATATTGTGAGTAAGCTGAAATAAGAAACTACGTAGAGTACAATTTGCAAGTAAAGTGTAGAGAAGATTTATAAAGTCCACAAAATATAGAATTAACTAAAAATAATCAACTTAGAGCATTATGAATGTATAAAAGTAATTTAGTCAAATCTAAAAGTAACATATATATATATATATATATATATATATATATATATATATATATATATATATATAGTAAAAGTAACTTACGTATATAATTAAAGTAATTTATAAATATAAATATTTTTTCATCGTAATATAATTATGTAAGATCTTGTTGTAAATATTTAATTGCAACGAATGTAATGGTGTAATCAGATTGTAGATTGGATAAGTAATTTGAGAGAAAACTTTATAAAAAAGAAAAGGACATGCATATCTAAGAGGGAAAAAAGCATGCACGTGTAGTAGTACTTCTTCTCATAATTGGTTGGTCGCTAGTTAACACTAAATCAAGAGGCTTCTCGGTTTAGATTTTGCCATTCAAAGAAGGGAAGCCTAACTTTGTCGTCACGTTCGCCCTCCTGGTGGCGGTGGCGCTCGTCGAGGTATGGGACATCGTCGCCGGCGTGTGCTCCAATTGGAGTAAGATGGCCATGCTCGGCCACTACATCAGGCACGAGCCACAGTGGCGTCGGTGTCGCCGCGCCCACGCGGCGCTCGACGCCGTGCTGCGGTTCAGGCCCGCGAGGCGGTGGCGCAACAAGATCGGGCAGAACTCGGTGCTGGAGCCCCGCCGCTTCTGCCGGCGGTCCGGCCTCCTCTCCGAGAAGCTCTACGGCCGCGCCGGGCTCATGAGGTCGGTGGAAGTCTCGCCGGCGGTGAAGGACGCGGTTCTCAGGTCCTTGATGAGCAGCTACGGCAGGTCGAGCAGAGGACGCGCGGCGGAGCGGCGAGTCGGCAGCAAGGTCGACTGGCTGTGGTACGGCTCCCGAAAGAGCTGGGCGTCCGACGACGGCGACGGCTGCGTCAGCACCACCGACATCATCCTCGCGTGGCACGTCGCCACGAGGCTCTACGAGATGAGATGCTCGCTGCACGCTTCGTCTCCGACGCCGTCGGCATCATCGTCGGACATGGCCGCCGCGTGCCACCTCTCCAACTACTGCGCGTACCTGGCGTCGGCCGCGCCGGAGCTGCTGCCGGACATCGCCACGTGGACCGAGAAACGGTACAGGGAGGTGACGGCCGACGTCACCGCGGGCGCTGGGCAAGGACAGCGCCGCCGGTGAGACGACGACGGCGCAGCAGAGGTACGAGCGGCTCGTGGCGACGCTGAGCGCCGGCGCGCGCGACAAGGCGCTGCGTCGCGGCGCGGAGATCGCGCGCCGCCTTGCGGAGGAGTACACGACCGCCGCCGAGGACGACGACGAGGCGTCGGCGTGGCTGTTCCTGGCGGATTTCTGGTCGGAGATGATGCTCTACGTGGCGCCGTCGGAGAACGTCAAGGGGCACGTGGAGGCCATGGCGCGCGGCGGCGAGTTCGTCACGCTGCTCTGGGCGCTGCTCCTGCACGCCGGCATCACCGCTAGGCCTGAGGCGCCAAGCCGTATTATCCCGTAGGTTGTTACAGTGAAGTCTCCTGTCGGCTGTGGCCCCCGCGTTGTAGAATCAATTGCCGTATTGGTAGTTTTTGCATAGTATAAGCTGGTAGTAGTTCGCTTGTTGTCGTTCTCGTTTAGTTAAGCTAATTTGATTGTTTAATTTAGTATCGAACTGTAGTCCGATTTGCACCAGCACGCATTATCTTGTCCTCACACTATAGTGTATCGTCCTTTTCTTAAGAGGAATAGCAATTCCGTTTCTTTTAAGGATTATTAATCTAATGGCTAAAAATAAAAGATAATGATGGGTTCACCAAATTAAATGAAAATCAATGATTAGATGTTTTGTTTGCCACGTGGCATCACAGGAGCGTTTATAGGGTGCCACATGGGCGGCCACATGACGGCTTAGGAGCGTTTGTAAGAAGTTTAATGGACTTTTAGTATATAATAGATCTGGCTTATAAATTATAATAATCTATCATAATAAGCTACCCGTTTGTTTCAGTTTACTCCTAATAATTTAGATTATAATAATCCTAAACTGAATCAAACAGTCTCTAAGCATGCTTGTGGAGTAGAGTTGAAGCAGGTTGGTATGGTCTTTCTGCTGCTACTTTTTCTTTTTAGTGTAAGGACAACGTACCTCTTGGTAAGTATTTATGCTTTACGATGGGATCTGCATAATTGTTTTATGTACCCTAATTTGATTCTTGGATATTTAATACACAAAATATTCTAAAAATTGAATTCTAGAAATTGGATAAATTTGGACATGATAGATATGAATAATCCGGATGATATCTAATCCTTATAAAGTTTCCCAAATGTAGCCTAACATACATGCCCATACATTTGAGCGGGTTACCCTTTTAGTTATTCTGAATTGATATTTCACTGTAAAAACATCAGTATATAACTTCTTCAACAAAACATCCCTATAGGGCAAGCAGTTGATGCTGTTGCTGCTGCAACAAAGTACTTTTGAGAAAACGACGACATGGTCATACATATATAAGCAGAGTGACAAAGAATGGCATTAACTCAAAACTCAATTCAACACAACAAAGAAATCCGGCAGAAAGTACCGTGCAAGTGTGTACTATATCCCTCTTGCTCTGAAACAAACTCCAGACCGTATCAGATGGCCTTTCCATCAACTTTGACAGAGACATCTGGATGATTAGGGTGAACCATCTCAGCGGCGTTCCTCACAGAAGCGATTGTCGCAGTGGCGCCAGCATCCTTCTGCGAGAACTCAATCAATACATGCTTCAGGCTAGGCAAATGCTCTATACCAGACACACCATTTGACCCATCTGAAATGCCTTTTTCGTACTTCAGCTCAAGAACTTCAACCTTTCGCAAGGAACTGTTAACAAAGGCCACTGATGGCAAGCTGCCCTGGATGCTCAGCTGCTTAAGCCTTTTGAATCCGTCGCTAGAAAAAGAGACTCGTGTCTTATTATCACCAGAGATTTCAGAAGCATCACAAAACAGTTCCAATTCCCTCAAGTTTGCAAGATCAGCAAGTTCTGGCAAGACACTCCCTGTGTTCTTCCAGACGTTGGCGCATGACAACGTTAGTAGGCCGTTCATCTTACTGATCTCGCCAGGCAACTTAGCATTTCCAGCAAGCAAATGCATTAGCTTTTCCAAGCTGACAATGCTGGCAGGTAGCTCTTTCACCTTCGTAGATCTCACATCAAGTGTCTCCAGGCACCTAAGCTCCCCAATTTGTGCTGGGAGCTCGCTGACATCAGTTCCCCTGAGGTTCAGGTACCTCAAAAGAATCAATTTGCAGAGGCCATCGAGGCATAATGGACCATTGCAGCCTTCCAGATCCAGAACACGTAATACGCTCATATCATTCAGGCGAGGCACCCCATTGGCATGACCAAAGACAGTCACTGAGCGAGCATGCTTGATCATATCATTTCGTGCACCAGCAAGATCCTGTTTGACACTGTTTTGAAGAGAGAGTCGCCGGACTGTGCCATTGTTGGTGGAGAGAGCTTCTTTCTTAGCATCTAGAACAGTGACAAAGTTCTCTTCCATGGACTTGACCACAATGAAATCATGTATTACTGGGTGAAGTGTGTAGCAGCTTGGGGTGCCATTATGTCTCAGATGCAATGCCTGGATCAGGTTTCTGCTAATGAGATCAGTAAGGTAACTTCTTGCTGTCTCCTCTTTGCTTGCATGGCGTGCATCAGCGATGAATCCTTCAGCAATCCATCGCCTCACCAAGCGCTCCACATCAATTTCATATTTATTTGGGAATATGCTTAGATACAACATACATGACTTGAGATGTGAAGGTAGATCGTTGTAACTCAGATTAAGTATTTGCTTCAAGTTCAGCTCATCGGAATGTGAACTAGGTAGCAAGTTAGATTCATACCTCTCCCATTCATCTTTTGAAAAACGATGTGCTAGTGCGCCAGCTACGCTAGATATAGCAAGCGGCAAGCCCCCACATCTTTCCACGATTATATCATAGAGATCCTTCAAATGGTTAGGACAATCCTTCCCTTTCCCAAAAGCTTTGTTGGAAAATAAATCTTTGGAGTCCGCGTCACTAAGGAGACCAGTTTTGTAAACTGATTCATCCGAATTGGAAGAACATTCCTTTGCCAACTCATCATTTCTGGTTGTGACCATTATCCTACTGCCAAGATTATCATCTCGGAAACAACACTTGAGTGTTGACCATTCTGTTCTACCCCATAAATCATCAATGACAATGAGGTACCTGTTTAGCAAAACAAAACAGATTAGTGCAAAAATGTAGCAGCCAAAAATCTTCATCACAGGATTCTAAACTCTTAAGCTGCATGTCACATTGCAAAAACGCTGCAAATTGATTTTGCCCACCTCTTATCCTTCAATTCATCTCTCAGCATTCCGATCAATCGGCCAATATCTTCGCCTCCTGCATACCCATTGCCGATCTGGGAGAGGATGCCCTTCAGTGTCTTACCTACAATGTCCGGCTTCTGACCGACGGAGACGAAAGCGCTGCAATGGAACTTGTTCTCCTCCTTGAGTCGCCGGAGCACCGCCGTGGCAAGCGTCGTCTTCCCGGCGCCCGGCATCCCGGAGATGGAAACCACCTTGAGCCCAGTCGTGCCGTCGTCCACCACCATCTCGGACACCTTCTTCACCGGCGCATCCAGGCCGACGAGGGAACTAGTGTCAGCATAGAGCGCAACCAGCCTGGGGTCAACGGCCGCCACGCCGCTCCGGCCGCCGGCGTGACGCGCCGGCGGATCGAACCTGTAGCGCTTCCGCTGCTCGCTCAGCTCGATGACCCGGTTCTTGAGCTCCTGCAGCTCGGTAGCGATGACGTGGCGGGCGGGGAGCGTCGTGACCTTGTTGACGCAGCAGCGCACCCAGGAGAGGAACCCGCCGGAGGAGGAGGAGGAGGAGGTGGCGGCCGCAGCGCCCGGAGAGGCGGCGGCGCCGCCGTCGACGCGGTGGGCGAAGAGGTCGATCCAGTCCTCGATGTCGTAGGCGAGGTCGCGGACCTGGGCGACCCAGGCCCGGGTCTGGACGTCGGAGCTCTCGAGGGACTCGCACCGGAGGAGGGCGGCGTTCATGGTGCCGAGCTCGGACTGGAGGAAGCCGACGTCCCCGCGGGCGCCGGACAGCAGCGTGTACTCCTGCTGCAGCAGGTCGCCGAGCTTGGCCGGCAGAGCGTCCACCATGCCGGACAGGGCGCCCACCGCGATCTCCATGTCGACCGGATGCGGCGGCTCTCTCTCTCTGGATCTGGATTCCGGCGGCTCGCCGGCGGCGGCAGCGACGGCGAGGATGGGCGGGCGTGGACTTCGAACCAAGTCCCCAAGTCTTCTTCCTGATGGTTCGTTCTCTCTTTACACCTCCAACCTGCTAATGATGGTGGGTCCCGCTGATGGTCTCCACTTGATGACAAAAATAATTTGGTTTTTCGTTTTTCTTTTTTTAGTATAAAGCACAAGACCGGTCTCAAAATTCAGACCCATCCAGATTATAGTTTAAGATGGCTACGGGTTTTTCGGGATCCTACATGATACTGGTGTGACATGTTAGACAGATGATTACTCATTTTATCTTTCGTTATTTTTCTTATTTTATCACTTTTCTCTTCTCTTCTTCCTTTTAGTTCGTCCAGCTGCCTCCGCCTCCTCCATGCCCGTGACTGCGGCAGACGACGGAGATGACGGAGATGACGGGCATGATCTGATGAGGTATGATTAAAGGGGCTGACTAAGGGAACATACTCTCTCGCGTCCATAACTCACTTGCCAAAACACACAAGACGCTATCATTGTGCGCCATCAATGTCTTTTCGGTGGTTTGTCACATAAGCGAAAGCTAACGATATTCAAGACTTTTACAGCGGAATCAGCTCCTACCATGTCGGACATATGTTCTTTCTCTATATCTGGACTACATGCGAGTCGTGGCATCTTAGTGGCCCTATAGATATATCTCTTGCGGTCATTTTAATTTTGTCTTTGTAGTTTGGGGTTGAGCAGTTTTGACATGATAAGGCACCAGGCGAAGACCTTTGCCTTAGCATTGGTAGACGGCATTGGCCTTATTGAAGGTGCTATTATAGGTGTGTAATATTGCGCACCCTTGAGGGCCCTTAGGTGAAAACCTATGTTGGACTAGATAGGCAGTCCGACAGTCGGACTAGGAAAAGCTAAAATGCATGGTCTAGTTCGATTTATAGAGAAGGTGTCAAGCCATGAAGTTCCCCTTTCTAGCTTTAAAACTTTGTTTAATAAATCGCCTGAAGAAATCGTTGAATTAACCTAGAGCTAATCCATAATTAATAAATGTATTTAATAATTGGAAATGGCATGTGGAATTTTTCCTTGGGTTCTACATGTCAAAATGTGTTAATAGGATTTTTAGTGGAATTTTCCGAGCCTTGAAAATAATTTTAACCCATTAAAATCATCAAAGTGCAATATTTAATACCAGGAAAAACCCTTTACCTTTTCTTCTTTTTATTTTTCTCTCTTTTTCCTTTGTTGGGCCATCGGCGCACTCCTCCCGCGCCGCCCTTCCCTCGGCTGGGCCGGCCCAAACCGCCTCCCTCCTCTCTCGGGCGCTAACAGGCGGGGCCCACCTATCAGCCTTTTTCCCTACCTCCAGCCAGCGGCAACCGCCGCAGAAGTCACGCGTCCACGCCGCCTTCCCGCTCCTCCACGCCCCCACTCCACACCCGTGCCGCGCGGCCACGTCACCGCCCACGTCCGCACCCCTCCCGCGCACGCGCACGCATAGAGGCGGGATTCAATTTGAATCCCCCTCTGTTTCTCTCCCCACCTCCCCCACATCGTCGCCGGCCAAATCGGCCACCTTCCCGGCCTTATCCACCTCTCCCGTGCCTATAAAACGCCACGCTTGCCCATGCTCTCCGCTGCTCTCCCCACACCGAATCGAGCTCCGCCGGTCGTTACCGAAGTCCGGCCACCCGCCGCCACTGCGAGAGCCATTGCCAAGCCAAGAAACCGCCGCCGTTAGCTCCGCCGTTGCAAGGGCTATCCCGGCCACCGCCACATCGCTCTCCCCACGTACTGCCACCTACCGCTGCCTCCATCCGTCGCTAGCTGCTGCTAGGGCCACCGTCGAGCCGCTCCGTCGCCGTCGTTGGACTCGCGAGGTCGAGGGCCGTCTCGTCCATCCCGCGCGCTTTGCCGTCTGCCGCTTGCCGCCACCGTCCGCGGTCGTCTTCCCCCACGCCAGCCGAATCCCACGGTGAGGCGCCCCCTCCCCGTCTTTTCCCCTTCCACTCCCTCCTAGCGCCGATCCGCGCCACTGCCCTTCGCGCCATGTGCCGCCGCCTTTCGCGCTGTCCGCCGCCGGTGACCGCGCGCGCCGCCGCCGCTCGCCATGGCTGGCCAGCCGGCTTTGAAGCCGAGCCGAGCCTGGCGGCTGCTCTCCGCGCCGTCCGATCGGCCTCCTTGCCGATCTGGGCCATCGGTCCCGTGGACCGGCGGTGGACCACCCGCGTGGTCCCAGTCCACGGTGGACCGGTCTCCTTGAACCGTGCCGGGTGGGGCCCACCTGCCAGCGCCCCTCCCTCTCCCTTTGTCACTGTCCAGTAGGGCCCGCATGTCGGCGCCCCCCCCCCCTTTGCTGACGTCACTTGGGCAATATTGCGCAATAAATGAATTAAGGCTTTTCTTTTTATAGTAAAAACGCAGATAATATTCTAAAATTCATAACTAATTCATCCGAACTCCGTTTAAGTCCATTCAAGTCTCCGTAAATTCATAAAAATCCCTAGGATCCATTAAAAATGGTTCGGTTTCCTGTTTCAGTAGACTTATAGCATGTTTTGCTTGTGTGCATTGTTTGCCACGTAGATTTCGGCCGTTTCGTCGATCCGCGGTTTCTTGAAGACATTGCTGTGGTCTCATCAGTGCGAGAGCAAGGTAAGTCATGCATTAAAATTTATCATAATGTACCCAATTTACAAATGTCCCGCATTTCTATTAAACGTGTCATTCTTTTACAATATCATGTTGGATGGGTCCTATTACTCAGCTATATATTGTTTCCCTTACACCATTGATAACTTGGGTATTAAAATGCATAGATGATGGATTAGGAATTGCTTAGCAATGCTTAGTTCAACTAGTACACAAAGGGGGATCACATTAATGCATAGACTTTGACTATTGGCATAGCTTTGGATTAGTGCCACCACAATGGTGTTAGTTAATTAAAATACACTACATGGTAGGCTGTGGGTGCATGGTTTTGCTAGTCGTGCCCATGGCGATTAAGGACCGGTTCGCGGGATGCCCTGGAAGAACTTATCGTACTTACGACAAGCCAGCGTGGGCAACAGCTGGGCTTGTAGTGTAGCTTTCCTCTAGCTGACGTACCCAGGCTAGGGTGAGCGTGATGGAGTTGGGTCGGCCGGGGTGTTCGGTTGATCGGCTTTCGGATTCACCGTGGCACGAGAGGGGGCCACCCGTTGCCTGCTGGGGATGGGGGCGAAACCTGAGGTGTGGTGCGATTTGTTAGAGGGGGTTATGCGAAGGGTCCTGTCACAGCCTCTTTCTGGTATGTCGTGGTGGCATGTCGGCGTACAGGAACATGTCGTGGGGCTGTGTCTTGTGGGTACAGTTGTACACCTCTGATCAGAGTAAAACTATTCGAATAGCCGTGCCCGTGGTTATGGGCGGTCGACCAGATTCACCGTGATTAGTCTCACTCCTAGTTAGCTAATGGAACTGGTTAGTTCAGGTGGTGGATTGGGCCTGTCTCAACGTGGTGTAGCATTGAGCAGTGATTGGTTAATTTGGATTAATTACTACCACTGTTTTACTGCTTTCAACTACTGCTTTTAAATGCCCGCTTTATGCAAATGAATCTCTAGCCTCCTTTGGTTATATCTTGCATCATACCTCCTCTTCTGGTATGACTTGCTGAGTACAGTCGGTAGTACTCACCGTGGGACGACGACACCGTGGCGGTTGATGGCGGAGGCCGGCGAGTGGTAGCCGGTGGCGCTTGAGGCGAACGATGCTAAAGCGACGTCTGGCCCATAGCAAACGAGGTGAACATTGTGGATAGCTCTCTCAGTAGGATTGCAAGTGGGATAGGTTGTGGGCCGTCCCGCCCCGCCCCACACCAGCCGCCAATTGCATGTGCAGGCAAATGGCAGCCCGCCCCGCACGGCTTGGCGGGATTGCTCAGCCCGACGGGCACCGCTGGACAGCCCACAATTTGCACATCTCTGTTTAATTAGGTTCATCAATCACACAAGCACATAACTACTCCATGTCCCAAATTTAGCACAAAACTACATGAAAACTGTATTATTTTCATGTGAAAATATTCACACAAGCACAGAACTACTCCCTGTCCCAAATTTAGCTAGGATTAGCAAGAGAAGGAAGAAAATATAAAATTGCAACATCAAGAGAGTGAACATGAAACAGATAGAGAGCTACTCGCTCAAGAACATGAGAATTCACAAATTCAGCAGAGCTACTAGCTCAAGAACATACAAGAGAATTCACAAATTCAGCAGAGCCACAAACACTAATGCTACAAGACCTGACAAGTGATTAACAACATCAAACTGCTACACGATGATTTCAATATTAATATGTGTTCAACGCCATTCTTTTTCAATGACATAACAAGTATAGTACTGAATAAGAACACCATTCTTTTCCTTCAACATCATGACTAACGTTAGAGTGATGATGATGCATTTTCTCTTCATGATAAACCAACTGTCCCAATTGACAAAGTGACAAACAACTGCTTCCAACTCCATGAGCTCTTCCGGTCTTTTTCTATATTACCTTCAACATACATTAAATTTATAAAGTTAGAGTGGAGAAACTACTAATCGAAAATTAGAAATGAATTCATCAACCGATTGATCACAACGTTATTCCATATTGTAGAATGGAGTAAATATGTACTAAGTTTCATCAATTAAGAATGCATCCGAAATATGAATTAAAGGACATAATTGACAATAACAAGCAGTTATCGAGGATAGTGAGATATATAACCTGCTGCTGGTTGTTGTGCTGGTACTACCTGTTACTAGAGGTGTATAGGCATTTTCACCTGTATAGGAAGAAACAATGGAGTTAATAAAAAAGAGTACATGCTGGACTGTTGGATGTTAATAAAAAAGAAACAATGATGTTAGTGGTGTAGTATACAACTATACAAAAATATAGAATAGCCAAGTTAATTCAAACGAATCTCAATTTAAATACCTGAATGTTGCACATTTTGGTCATCACTCTCAGCAAGATCACGTGCAAAGAAATCACCCAAACCTTCTGCCCTCATCCAATCTTGAAGGCAAATCAATGCCTCTACAGTACTGCTCGAAAGTCTACTTCTATAGTCACTA